TATCGCTGTCCTAAGTAAGGGTTAAGGCAAGATAATTAACATGAAGACAGGAATAGAAACTGTGTGTTGATAGCAAAAGATCAGCAAGTATATATAGTGGAAGTACAGGGATTACATAAAGAGCACCCTCCAAGGGCAACTGTAAAAGTCTGCCAGGGATGAGAGAAAAGAATAGACTATATTTTTCTGATTTATAGCTTGTAGGTGATCATTTTATTAGCTTACAGAATTATCAACATGTTTATTTTAATGTTATTTTTTTCCTTGGGTTGTTGGCTTTGCTAATGTAGTTATAGCAATGAACAGTCATTTTTGTGACTTGCCTTTTTTCCCTGTTTCTTGGGTCTCATTTCTTCCCCTTCTGTGCCCTACCTATTTTACTACATGTGGAGATTAAATTATAGAACTATTTATGGCATTGATTCATTTTGTGTTAACTATTCCGTATGCTCATTTGACTCCTTGTCTCCTTTCACCTCCAAAAGCAGCTCAAAAACAGTCGTTAATTTCTCTGCCTGGGAAGTGCTACTTGTGGAGCACCTGTCAGGTGCTATTGATGTTAAGGAGTACTTTAGGTCTTCATTGAGCATCTTGTCTGCAGTTTTTAGAAGTCAACTTTTAAAACTTGAGCTCCAGAAACTGTTCTTTTCAAGGGAAAGGTGAAACCTGAGAAAGCAGGGCTGACTGTGTTGTCATGTCATACTATTCTCACCCATTTGGTTTCCCTGATTCTTGTTGCCCAAAGTACAGCAGCATCCTGTTGCACTGATGAAGCTTGTGTTCTTTAGTATCAAACGTTATTTGGTATCTGGGTGACAGCATGTATCTCTAAGCAGGTGATCTCCTTGCCCTTGTTCTCTTTCTGTAGGTCACTAGGGAGTCTCAAAGAGAAGATAGAAAAGAGCAAACTCTCTGAAGACAAGAGAGAAGAAAAACTGCCCTCTGATAGTATCAGAACATCAAATCCAGAAGTTCTGATACTCTTGCTGTGGTCTTGTTCCAGACCCTTTGTTAACATGTGGTTAACAAATGTTACAGGACCTGAACTCCCCAGGAGAAGCGTTGCAACATTGTCAGGATTTTGTAATGGTGGTTTTGTAACTTTAACTCTTGATTTCTGCCATAGATCTCAGGGCTCTCAACATAATACTGCTGTCTTAAAAAACACTTCATTAAATGAAGCAGGGATAGTGAGATGATATTTTTTTTTTCAGAGGTGAGTCCTCCTGTTTGTTTTTCAGTAATTCAAGGTAGTTTATTTAATTCACTAATTAAGATATTGTAGACTACAGTTTTGTTCTGATCAGGCATAGCAGTAAGGATATTAGACCATTTCAAAGTGATATGTATTTATTGAGTTTTTTTCCTCCCAGAATACTAGTCCTCAGTTTATTCTGTGTTGTGAATAGAGTGTTAGTATGCAACCATCTTTTTTTGGCCTGAATTGTTTCTCTAAGAGTGACTGGTGACAACAACCTTACCACAAAAACGATGATGATAATGATAAAATGGAACAGACTAGGGCTGGCTTCTTTTCTTTGTCTTTGTAAATGGATAAAGTAAAAAGCTAATGTGTATCAGACTCAATGTTTATTTGATATCTGGAGAACACGGGGGGGGAAAAAAAAATGTGAGGTGTTAAATATTCTCAAAAATAGCCAGTTTGTTTACAGCTAACACTGTAATGCAGAAGGGTATAGTCCTGTTTTAGATGACAAAGTTACATTTGAAGGATAGGTGTAGTAAGACTTGTAAAGTCATTTTCATTGGGCCTCAATAATGTGTGTGTGGCCTTGAGGACAGCAATCAGAGGTATTTTTAATGTCTTAATGTTCATAGGATCCAGGCATAAAAATGTAAGTCTAGAGTTAAAGGCATGCAAGTGTCTCAGCTCTAACTGTCCTACTTTAAGCTATGAAGTCCAAAATAGAGCTTCTGAAGACTCTTGCAATCACTGGACTACTAGGAAGCTTTGACATGCTGTGGTGGGTTAGGCTGCTCCGGCAACTATACCCTACACAGTCCCCTCTCACCCTCTCACACCTCAGGGATGAGGGAGAGAATCAAAGAGGAAAAAGAGAAGAGACCTGAGGGTTGAGATAAGAACAATTTACTACTACCACTACTAATATATATATATATACACATATACAGGTATGTACAAGGATAAACATATGCAAATGAGCGACGTACGGTGTAATTGCTCACTGCCCCTTGACCGAGGCCCGTCTCGTTACAAAGCTGCAATCCCGAAATGGATAAAACTCGATACCGCAATCCCGGATGAACGGGAGGCCCTGAGACAGAGAGCAAGAGAGAGAGAAAACACTCTGAGCACCTGAAAGTGAGAGTCCCGGAAGGGCAAAAGCCCATCTTTCCGGCTGACCCTCACTCTTATACTGGGCATGATGCTGCATGATATGGAATACTAATTGGCCAGTTTGGCCCTCAATCTTAAGTTCAGGTACAAATCGTAAGGAGAGTCGTGGACCCCCTGTCCCAGCTATACTCTCCCCTTATCCTGTTGTGCTCCTGCACACTGGCAAGAACCCGGCAGACTGAAAAGTCCTTGAGACCTCAGTGCCAACTATAAACATCAGTGCACTATCAGCATTCTTCTCAGAGTGAGCCTCTGAGTAAAACCAAAACACGGAGCTCTTCTAGCTGCTAAAAAGAAAAGCTAATCCTGGTCCCAGCTAAAACCAGGACACACGCTTAGCTATATAAAGATCTGCAGCTAGGTTGCCAAAGGCTTTGTTCTGTTGAACAGCTCAAACTGCCTCCTGTGTAGGCCCTATGAGGCTCTACAAAAGAAATATCCTTTCCACCTGTCACCCACAGAGACGCTGCAGTCACCTTGGTAGGCTCAGAGTATGCCAAGTGACTGACTCAGTAGGAGGTTAAAGGGGGAACCTTCTTTACTTTCCTATCAGTAGCTGCAGCATTCACCTACGATGTGGAAGGTCTGTTTTCCTCTTATGCTCAGGTGAGTCATTGCCATGTTTTCCAGATGAGCATCCTGACTGCTGCTCTATGGAGTCATACTTGGTGCTTCCACTTCCGAAGTCCTTAAGATATTGACGACCTAATTCCAGGGCAAGGGCAGGATTCAAGACATACTCTGCATGATTTTCTGCTTGAGCTCAGATGGTTCACTGCTTGGCATGAAGGCTGTTTATGAATCGTCGTCTTAAGTATCTGTGTTTCTGAGTTTAGGTTATGAGTTTTGGAACTCAGACCTATTCTCACTGTATGTGTGCCCAGTCCAGATCTCGGCAGCACTGAGTGGCTGCGTAGCCGTGGCATCCCGTCTTCCCGGGAGCTTGAGGAGAGGAGAGAAGCTGCTGTTTCTTCCTATTTTTCTGTCCTTCAGGCACCCAGTATGTTAAGTGCTCCTGGAGTACTGGAGGCTTATTACCTACTACTTTCTTTCAGACTTGAGTTTAATCTCACTGGCAGCCTTTATACCACTCATTGAGTTGTCCTTCAGAGCACCTTCTCTTTTCTTGAGCTAAGCTTATTTTTAAGCAAGAGCTACTAAGGAAAGGTGCTAGGAAGTTGTTCTGAGTAGTCTTTCATGCTAAGGTAACTTTTACGCTGAGGTAACTTTACAATAATAGCAAGTTTGACTACTAAATGGGGATTTTAGCTGGTGGCACAATAAGTATCCTTAACTTGAAGCTAGTTAAGTAGAGCCCATGGAAACAGAGAAGGCTATTCATGTGACTAGTCATATGTGATTAAATATTTATGAAATAAGGTTTTAAACTTATGACTGTGTTGTTTGCAAGTATTTCATAAAACTTGATGCTTCTGTCATAGCCCCGTGTTGTAATAAAATGAACTAAATGCACTTACATTTTTGACTTAATTATAAATTCTGATCTGAAGCTGCACAGGAGGGGTCCAAATAGCTTGTAAAAGCTTCAGCTTAAACTTAATTAATTACTTTAAATGTTAATGTTAAACAACACTAAAAACCACAATAGCAAAACAAAAAAATAAAATAATAAAAAACCACAAAAACCAAAACAAACAAAAAAACACACCACAAAACCCCCTCCCCACCCAAAAACCTGTGTCCTGTCCTAATTTTTGAGAAATGTTCTGAAACTGGGATACGAACAAAACAAAATGTAGGTTTCATACCTCATTGCTGTCTGTAGTTCAGGTTGTCTCTTAAAACCCTGCCAGCAGATTTCTGATTAAGCTCCTGTTAAAACAAACAAACAAAAAAAACCCCAAAAGAAAAGGACAGAACAAAACAACCCCCCCCAAAAAAAAAAAAACACAACCCCCAACCATCCCAAAAGAAAAAACCTCAACAGTTTGAGGCTTTGGAATGAGTTTTTAATAATGTGAGAATGGTAATTAGTCTGTATAGTTGCTTTGAAGAAAGCTTCAAAATGAATTCTCACTGTAATGAGGGGGAAAGTATTTTTCCAAACCGGTTCCTCCTAATCTCTAAATTTCAGCCTATGTAGTTTTTCCATAAAATTACCAAAGGCCGTTGACCTGAGGGATTTGTTTTCTGTTCTGAAGTCTTGAAATTTTCCTCCTGGCTAATTACAGCCTATTACTCTAGACTTTGGTCCTTTAGCAGTAACATTTTCCATCTTAAGATGGGTTGTCCCATTCCAGTGAAGAGCATGTTGTCTGAGTGCTGAATGGAATTACTACCAGTGGAAACTATGCTGCAAGAGGCTTGATAAAGCAGCTGCTGTGCAAACCTCAGCTGTTTTTTCCATCCTCCCGAGCGCTGGTAATTAGCATAGGGAAGCTGACTAATGTGCTGACGTCACCTCTTTCCAGTCGCAGCTTACATTTTGTTCCTGACTGCCTCAAAGCATGCAGGACTTTGTTCAGGAATTCACTGCTGTCACATACAGGATGCTCTGAAACCTTTTTTTTTTTTTTTTTTCCTAAGGGGCTGGACTTGTTTCCCTTATAAACGCTGCCTGCAGGACCAACGGCTTCCTTAAAAGTCATTGGTTTCTGCGGAACAGCAAGTATTGCTTTGGCAAAGCACAAAATGCATTTTAGAAATTTTAACTACAGTTTTAGTTCTCTGATTGCCTGCGTGGCAGATAACGATGTCTTCAATCAAGCAGAAACAAGGGTATGCTCTATCTTTTGTGGTTATTTCTGTGAACTACTGGAATACTGAAGTATGTAGGTGCTGTTTCAAATTGTTTAAGTGCCTTGGTAGCTTTTTGACTTGTAAGAACGTTTCAGTTTGATTTAAGGGTCTTGGGTCTTACAAGTCTGCAACAGTATGCTCTGATAGGACTCTGACTCTGGAAATTATTAGGTCTTAAGCTATGTGGTTTTGAAAATGATCAGAAGTTTACCTCCAGACTTCCTTGACTGTCTATATAGTACATGCTTCACTTGCATATGCCTTCTCAGCAAATGTTTAGATTATAGTGTTGATGGTAAGATTCAAAGAACTTATAGTACATTTTATACTTTTCATGGGATTTTTTTTGGCTCGCGCTGTAGTTAAAAGCGTAATGTTAAAACTGTAAGTCGTCCTCTTGGATTTATATTTAACTGATTAAAATTAATATAATGTAAGTAATCCAGTCCTGATACAGTGAATTGTCAGCTGCTGACTTACCTTAAGGACAAAAAAAAATTTTGTTTAGTGTCATATTGCTAGCATGACATATGACCTCTGTAATCACACACATTTTTAAAAACTGTATAAATTGTATAAATCTTGCAGGTAGTCTCTGAGTTTAAATGTCAAACGTGAACTTTTGAAATGCGATTTAGCATGGGTTTGGCTTATTTTTTCATGGTTGCATGCTGCTCTGCCTGGAGTACAGGAGGCTAACAAATACAGGCTTTGTGTGTGGAGGGTCCTGGTTTTGTTTCAGAGCTCATTTTGAAGAAGCTTAAGTGTGGCTCAGCAAGAAGCAGGCCAGCTCTGCTCTTAAAATGTCTCTGAAATATAGTGGTTCTGTATGCAGCAGTGGTGAATTTCTGAAGCAGAGCTTTTCAGGAAGGAAAATGAAATTTTGAAGTGATTGCAGCCTTCTTATGTAATCTTTGTTGTTTTTCCTATTAATTCAAAATGTAACTGGGGAAAAAAGGCAGTGTGATTTTACATACTTGTTTGTTTTGGCTTTGTATTGGACTTCTAGTAAGCTTTTACAAAGCGAAAATATCTGAAATCTGAATGCTTGATCTACTGCCATCACTGAAATAAGGCTTGTGACTGGTTACTGTGTTCTCAATGTGAGCCTGAAACACTTTGCAAGAGCATGGCAACTTCAGAACCTCCTGCTTCTTTCTTCTCCTTTGGTCTGACATCCTGAAGTAAGAGTGGAAGCACTCTTTATATAAGTAATATGAAAAATAGCCAAGTCAGGTTTGCATAAATGCCCTAGGAGCACAAACCCAAAGTGCAAAATGGAGATGGCCAGCTGTTGGTAAAGGTGCTTTGATCTTTTCATGCAGATAGGACAGCAAAGTAACTCAGCTGCAGATCTATGAAGGTATGAGGTTGTGGTCCAGTTTCTACTCTTACCACACAGTCAAAACAGAAAGTGTGTCAAAGGCCCTTCAGGAGCTGTATGGTTAGTACTTAAGATTTTTTTAGGCGAGATAGTGGGAGCCTTTTTAGAATTCGGTTACAGAAATAGAAGAGGCTATTAAGCTAGAGTTTGGTAGTAATATGTTCATTTTCCTAAATGAAAGTAGCAACTATTAAACCAGGAGATGTTCATCAACTGTACTCTGCATGCTGAGTCACTGAAGAAAATTACATTTAGCTTGCAAATATGCTTTTTTCATTTTTCTCTGTAGAAATTATTGTGTTGTCTTTTTTGTAAAGTGCACGCTTAGACAAAGGCATGCTTGGCACACTTTTCAAGGCCTTTGGATACTTTTATAAGACAAGCATTTCTTTTCTGTATCTTACCAATACTATTTCTGTTATGTCACTAAATCAGAGTATCATGTCTAACACTTATTCGTTACAATAATCTGTTTTTAATAAGGAAGAAAAATGTTGCTATAGAGAGAAAAAATTAGAAAAATTCATTATAATAGAGAAGAAGAAAACTAAATCTAAGCTGTAATAAATACATCAATATTCAAGAGTGGTAGTATGCAGCTACTAGTAGCTGAAATTTGTTTCTGCATTTATTTAGAGACAATGTAGAGTGTTGTGTATTCACTTTCTCCTTTGGTTGTTTCTTTTCAGGCCAAATTTGAATCGCTGTTTAGAACATACGACAGAGATATCACCTTTCAGTATTTTAAGAGCTTCAAAAGAGTACGAATAAATTTCAGTAACCCTTTATCTGCAGCAGATGCTAGAATCCAGTTGCACAAGACGGAGTTCCTTGGAAAGGAAATAAAACTGTATTTTGCTCAGGTAAGTCTTTGTGATTATCCTTACAAGGTGTTAAAGTGTAATTTACTTGTGATAAGCTTCCACAGGCCTTCAATCACACTAATGAACGATATTAATTTTTTCAGTTTGATTAGACAATCACAGGTGTTCCAAAGCTACAAGTATTTGGAGGCTGTTGCATATTTTGCATTTATGTCTCCCTGTGTATTGTTTTGATAACCTTGGAGGAAAGGAGTGGTGATAGTAATCAGCACAGTCAAAGATAGAGTTTAACGGGGTTATGGAAGCAAACAGCACAGAGGCACACACGTGTGTGCTCCAGTAGTATCTGAGAGAATCCAAGGTGTAGAGCTGCACATTCAGGACTCTGCCTGTTGATCCTGGTCTCGCTACTGCAAATCGTTTGTTTAGCACACGTTTGTACTTGCCAGTCGCCATCAGTGCAGCTCTGTAGATGGCTAGCATCTGCTGCTAAAGATGTGGAACTCTCAAGTTCTGGTAATCTGGGTGCTCTTTGGTAGCTGCTGTGTATTTTCCTCCGTAAATTTAATGGGGAAATTAATCTGTCTGTTTCAGATGTCCCTAGGGACAGTCCTGAAGGAGCCAGTTTATTTATATACCTTCTAGAATTCTCACCACTCTCACTTGTGGTAATCACCATTTGTCATTAGGCTTTAAAGCCCATATCCAACTTCTTCCTGCTTCAGTATTTGAAGGACAGATATTTTCTGGTGAAACTTTTGTAACAAAACTCCATAATGAGAAGATGCAGATGTGCTAGTTCATTGCTTGTTTCATCAGAGTTGAATGTGGTGGCTTGTCTGTATTTTGTGTACCGGGTCTTTCATACAGTTCTCTTTAATAGTATAGTTACATGCTGCCACCTTGAGTGCCTGTTGCAGCACAACATCTATCCAAACCTTAAAATTCCTCATGAATGATGGATTCATTGATAATAGTAAAACAACTTTGGCTTTTTTCTATTTTCAGACTTTGCACATTGGAAGCTCACATTTGGCGCCACCAAATCCAGACAAACAGTTTTTGATTTCACCTCCTGCCTCTCCACCTGTTGATTGGAAGCAAGTAGAAGATGCTACTCCAGTCATTAACTATGATCTTTTATATGCCATCTCCAAGTTAGGACCAGGTAAGAAGATGCAGAAACACTAGAATTTTGGTTGAGTAAAACACCTTTTAAACTTTCTGAATTTCTAGAACTCTTCAAATCAGTTAATACCTACCAATTAAATTTATAGTATTAGAAAAAGGAAAAAGTATTAGTAAATGGTACTTTCTTACACACATGATAATTCCGTAGGATCACTTGGAGGGCCAGGACCCCTGCAATGTGATCTATTTTGTGATTTGCAGAGAGCATGAATGTTGCTTCAATAATATATTAGCTTGTTTATCAAAACTTTCAAGAAACAGCTTCCTAAAAATGAAGAGGCAGTTGCACAGTTGTGTACTTCTTGAAGGGATGGGAAAGTCCTGTTTCAGACTAAGACAATGAATTAGTTAACAGAT